GTAGATGTCAAGTCTACTACAGTCAACGAGAATATATTTCTACTTTTGCTGAATCAATATGTATTTATAAGTTCAATGAATGCATTCCTGAAAATGTTTTGATTATTTAAGTGCTGACTAATTATCTACTTGTAAATGCACAATGAATGTATATTTAGTTGAGATTTCAATATGTATACTTTGTTTCAACAAAAACGATCAAACAAAATTATCAAACATTATATTTTCAATTGGCTCATAATAAATTTTCTTTTGTATTTTATTTTAAGCTGAACCATCATACATTATTATTTTGTATTTTGTGTTTGAAAATAAATACTATATATATAATATTCAAACAATCATCTTTAAGTAATCCTCCATTACACTTGAGTAATACAATATTCAAACAATCATCTTTAAATCATTATCTAATTAACAATCACAAAGATGACTTGTTTTTCTGTAAACAAACTTGTAGATTCATTCTCCATAGCGATTCGATGAGCCGAAAACTTATCCCTATATCCGTGCAACCTGATGGCTCAAATCCTGCAAGGAAAGTAGAAAGTTCCTTTGTCAAAATTGCCGCTATATTCCAGAAAGTTAAAGTTTTTAGGACACCATTGTCAATGATTAAGGTGACTTAAAACCTTTTCGACAATTCCTTTAAACAAATAAAAACGTAAGTAATATCTGTTTTTTCAGTTTTTGATCATAACTTAGGAACCCCTGAATCCAACACCAAACTTATGCAATTAAAAAAAATCCGACATTCTGATCATGTCCTGGGGACAAAAAATCTCTTTAAAAAAGATTTTTGAAGAAAAAAATCCTTCAGTCGTTTGGCCATGGCCATGCAGCTATGGCTAACATATATACAGATATATATATATATATTTGAATATATGTTAGCCATAGCTGCATTATAAATAAATATATATATATGATTATGATATGAGCGAAGAGTTTTATTATAAATAGATATATGTTTATATTACTTCTTTATTAAGGTCCCATCCTACCCAGCCCCCCTTGGACCCCTACCCGAGTATGGTTATGTGTATTACCCCTCCTTTGAAGGATTACCTCCTAGCTACGCCCCTGATATAAGCTCCTGCTACGCCCCTGACCTCCTCCAACGAATTGGCAAGCCTCTGGATGTTTCTGTTTACCTACCCCTCCTTCAGGAACCTCATGAGATTCCTCTTCTAGATGTACCTTTAAACTATCAGGTATTGTCTGGGACTACAGGGTGTCCCATAAAACAGGATAGTTGAGAGACAACATGAAAATCATCTTAGAAATTATGATTTTCTTCAAAGATCATACTTGTCATAGTAGATTTATAAATAAATGCCGCAAATTATTTCAAATGTAAAAGACGATCTTCAAGTCGTCTTTGAACTATAATGTTCATGGTGGGACACTCTGTAGGTGAAATTATTAATATGACCTATGATAAACGCTGATGGCCTAAAAACTGTGAAATGATTGTTGTCTTCAATTCCTTCAACCTGTCTCTCAATAATCATATATTGCGAAGAACTTTGCAATTTTTATTAATTCATCTTATTTCAATTGTTATATTTGGAGCACACTTCTACATCTGAATCTGTGGAAAATTTCAACGAATTAATATTAAAAGAAAATCGACAAATCATTATTTAAAGGGAGTGTTCGTGAAAAATGAATAGGCTTAAAGGGAGTGTTCGCGAAAAATTAATAGGCTTAATGCGATAAAAAGCGCTATTGATTGCTACTAATCTTACTTCTATCTGTTGCGTCTTTAAGGAGAAAAAATTGTTAAAAACGACTAATACCGAAGAATGCAACATTCAACTCGGATCGTAAACAAGTCAATTTAATTCCAAACAAATCATTCAGATATTACAAACAGTAGTCATCGGCTATTTTTTCGACGCATTCGTAAATAGTTGATATTTCTAATATTTTGTATTTTTCATGATCTGAGAGTTACTTTTGAAAACATTTATTCCTGTTTCGAGGATTTTTGATAATGAAGACGACATTTTCATATTTTTCAGGAATGTTCAAAAATCCAACGCCAGCGAAAATTATTTTTAAAAAAAAATCAAAATAGTTTGTGGAGGTCATTAGAGGTCATTAGAGGTCATTAAAATTCAATACTAATTAGGCGTGTAGCCAAAAAATTGGAAGATTTGAACCAAAAATGAAGGCAGGGCCTCTCCCCCTACATCAAATGTGCCAACTCCACCATCCCCTTAAAATTATAAATAGAGCAAACCTGATTTTTTTCAGGCTCCTCTGGGATATCGTCGTTTTCAGAATGGTTGCGCATTTGCTGAATATTATCTGCTTAAAACTTGGAGATCAAATCTTGTATACTAAATCTCACGTGTATGAGTTCTGGTATAATTTTGACGCCGTTTATATCAATTTCTTGGGACAGGAACATCAGATAGAAATCTTATAGGTCTCGATCAACTCCTAAAATTCTTAGGTTTCAGTATATACCCCATTTTATTTTTCCTTTACAGTCCCTTTAATCTTAAAATAGATCTAAAATCCTCCTTGAAAAACTATTTCTCAGTATACTTTTGAAAATCTATCTTGGTGTACTTGAATTGAACATTATTAAAGTGCAGCAAAATACTGGATTTAATATCCGTGTGTAAGCGGTATATTTTATATTTGGATTTTATCAAATATTAGTCAAGAGTATTAAAGTTTGACTTATCAAATTTTATCTTTTTAAAAATGTTTAAAATATGAACCACTTAACAAAATAAACTTAAAAGGGACAAATTACAAACAAAAAGAATTCTTGTCAATCTCAGTCTCAAAAACAAGTATTTTAGTATTTTAATCTCCCCTCCCCCCCCCCCCTTCATCCATCTACCTATAAACAGGACATATGATTCTGCATCAATTTTCAAGATGTTTTATTGGCAAAATTGGTCTCGGAAACCCATGTAATGTAAAAAATCCCTGTAAAGTAGTTGTAAATAATTTTACCGCCTTTTGACCAACATTACTAACCAACAGGGGACATTAAGTTTACAATTAAGTTAAATAACGACCCGCTCTGAGAAGATTTTGTCAAAAAATTGCACATTTTCATCTCGAAAGACGATAAAATTGTGACCAACTACTTTTCCGGGAAATCAGAAATTTTACTTGACCACGGTTCCCTCGACCATGATTGCTCTTTAGTCCCTTGGTAAAGTATTATTCCCATAACTTCCTTTTAAATCAGTTGAATTGTAAATATTAAAAAACTTTTTTTTTTAAGTCGGGATCCTTCCAACAAATGCTGGCATTCAACCCTTTACCTCAAACCATTCAAACACAAGGTATTTATTCATTCTTCTTCCTAGTATTATTATTATTATCATTATTATTAT